GCAGAAGACCACACCTCACAGGCTATTCAGAGCCAGGATCCTCCCTGCCAGACCCAGGCTGGCTGGGGAGATTATTTCCCTATTCTGCTTTGCCACAAATGCAGAATATACCATGTCACACCACTAGGGGGCAGGAGTAAACAGAACATAAAGGCACTAAAGCACAGCTTGGGGAAAATATATACTTTGGATGGCTGTGCCCAGAAACCCTAACAATGGTTATGCTGGGTTGCTGTGAATTGTCCGGGCTGTATGGCCATGTTCCAGAAGCATTCTCTCCTGATGTTTTGCCCACATCTATGGCGGGCATCTTCAGAGGTTTTGAGGTCTGTTGGAAACTAGGAAAATGGGGTTTATATATCTGAGGAATGTTGAGGGTGGGAGAAAGAACTCTTCTTTGCTTGAGGCAAGTGTGAATGTTGCAACTGGCCATCTTGATTAGCATTGAATGGCCTTGCAACATCAAAGCCTGGCTGCTTCCTGCCTGGGGGAATCCTTTGTTGGGAGGTGTTAGCTGGCCCTGATTGTTTCATGTCAGGCATTCCTCTGTTAGTGCTGATGCTAATCAAGGTTGAGAAGTCTGTTGGGTGAGACATCGGGATTTGGGTGAGACATCGGGAGATAATGCTTCTGGAATATGGTTTATATATCTAAGGAATGTTGAGGGTGGGAGAAAGAACTCTTCTTTGCTTGAGGCAAGTGTGAATGTTGCAACTGGCCATCTTGATTAGCATTGAATGGCCTTGCAGCTTCAAAGCCTGGCTGCTTCCTGCCTGGGGGAATCCTTTGTTGGGAGCTGTTACCTGGCCCTGATTGTTTCATGTCAGGAATTCCCTTGTTTTTTGAGTGCTAATCAAGTGCCTAGTTTCCAACAGACTTCAAAACCTCTGTGGATGCTTGCCATAGATTTGGGTGAGACATTGGGAGATAATGCTTCTGGAATATGGCCACGAAAGCCTTCGACAACACATAAAATGGTTATGTTGGCTGAGCAATTCTGGGAATTGCAACAAGTTTTTGGAATGCATATTCAATAGCTGTTGGGATATTGCCTTTGTGGGCCTTCAAGTCTATTCCGACCTATGATCACCCCAAGGTGAGCCTAACAGAGGGCTTTTGGGGCCATCCAGTGGATTTCCATGGCGAAATGGGGATTCAAACCATAGTCTCCAGAATCGGGGACCAAGACCCAAACCCATCATGCTGGATATCTTTGTCTAAATGACCGTAGGGAAAATACAGACAGTCCCCAAGTAGTGAACATCCAACTTACAATTAACTCATAGTTAAGAACAGAAGTGAGACAACAGGAAGTGAGAGAAATTTACCCTTAGGAAGGGAAATTCACTCCTGAAAGAGTTATCATGGGGAATTTTGGGACGTCAAAAGGAATGAATAAGTCCCAGGTTTAAGGCTTCACATACACAAACACTAAGACATGTTTGATAAAGGAACAATGTGATTATAAATGGCAAGGTCATCTGACATTTTGCCTGATGGAAGTTATTTTCTTTATCAGAAGGCATTGTCTACACCAGGCATGGGCAACCTTCAGTCCATTGTGTTCAATCCTCCAGGCGTTTTGGACTACAGCTCCTACAATTCCCAACAGCCTACCGGAGTTGCAGTCCAAAACACCTGGAGGGCCAAAGTTTGCCCATGCCTTGTCTATACTGTGGCTCTCACATCTGTAGGTTGCTACGGGGAATACAATTGCTTTAACTATGCAGATCTTCGTTCCCAATGTGATGTCTCTACCTTTCACTATTTTATCGAGATTAGTCACTGTAGTATACAGTGATTCCATGTTTTCCCCATGTTTTTGTGACAGAACCAATTGGGAGGCCACTAGGCCACTAGGGGGTGCTAGAGAGAAAAGGATAGTCCATTTTATGGACATGGAGGGTGGGTTGAAGAAGGAAAACTACTTCCTCCTGTTTTCCTGTTATTCCTTCAGCCTATGTCCCTGTCTTGGAAAGGTTTATGAAATGGAAAGCAGGGAGAGGGAATCACCAATGAAAACGGGGGGAAATGGTTTTCCTCCTTCAACCCCTTCCCCAGTAAAATGGACTATCATTCTCTCTCTACTGCCCCCTAGTGGCCTCCATCAGAAACATAGAATAGTACCTATGATGGAACCAATTAGGAAATGATATTTACAGTGTTCCCTCACCTATTGCGGGGGTTCCATTACAGGAACTCCCAGGATAAGTGAAAAACCACAATGTAGGGATGCTATACTGTATATGTACAGTATAGCTCTGCCCACTCCTCTCTCCCCCTCCTCCTCTCTCTCTCTTCCTCTACTTGTATGCTACTTGTATTTTAAATTAAACTAGCTGCCCCCTGTCACACTTTGCTGTGGCCCAGTCTGTGTATATGTGTTTTGTGTGTGTGTGTATGTGTATATGTGTATATATGTGGTTTTGCACATGTGTTGCAATGTATTTTTATTTTTTGCTTTTTAAGTCCCTTCAGCTGTGTTTTCCAGTGTTTTTTATGAGTGATGGGCACTTTTTGGCCTGATAGGTGTCTTGTGTCCAAATTTGGTGTCAATTCGTCCAGTGGTTTTTGAGTTATGTTAATCCCACAAATGAACATTACATTTTTATTTATATAGATTATTTGAAAAGCCGTGAAACAGCGAGTCTGCGGTTAGTGAACCGCGAAGCGGCAACGGAACACTGTATAACCCAGGAACAGAAATCATGTTACATAGGGCCCTTTCACACAGCTATAAGTAAAGGTAAAGATTTCCCCTGACATTAAGTGTAGTCATGTCCGATTCTGGGGTGTGGTGCTCATCTCCATTTCTAAGCCGAAGAGTCGGTGTTGTTCGTAGATGCCTCCAAGGTCAGGTGGCTGGCACGACTGTGCCGTTACCTTCCCACAGGAGTGGTACCTATTGATCTATTCACATTTGCATGTTTTTGAACTGCTAGGTTGGCAGAAGCTGGACCTAACAGTGGGAGCTCACCCCACTTCCCGGATATGACCTGCCAATCTTTCAAACTACAGACTTTTCAGTCAGCAAGTTCAGCAGTTCTGTGATTTAACCCGCTGCGCCACCCGGGGCTCCCCATATAGCCATATAACCCAGAATATCAAGACAGAAAATCCCAAAATATCTGCTTTGAACTGGGTTATCTGAGTCCATGCTGCCATACATTCCAGTTCAGAGTAAATAATGTGGGATTCTATTCAGCTGTGTGGAAGGGTAGAAGAAAATGGTTTACCCTATATCAAAAGGCAGGTGGAGGAGGCATATCTTTTATTTTCAGAGAGAGGTGGATAATATTTTCAAGCTCTGTGTGGTTGGATCCATGGATACAGAATCTGTGGATCTTCTTCTTCTTAGGCGATCCCTTATTGTCCAAATAGGATAGTCTTCCAGGATCAGTGTGTTGGTGGGTCCGTAGATGACTATGGAGCCCTATTCTTGTTCTGCACCTTCTCCTGCAGTGAGGGCATTGATTTCCAGGTGGAAGGTGGTCCCAGTCAGGGTTGGCTTGATGCGCCTTCCTCTTGGCACGTTTCTCTCTTTCTCCCTCCATTTGTGCCTCTTCAAATTCTGCAGCACTGCTGGTCAAAGCTGACCTCCAGCAGGAGCGCTCAAGGGCCAGGGTTTCCCAGTTCTCAGTGTCGATGTCAGAGTTTTTAAGGTTGGCTTTGAGCCCATCTTTAAATTTCTTTTCCTGACCACCAAAATTTTATTTTCTGTTCTTGAGTTTGGAGTAAAGCAACTGCTTTGGGAGATGGTGGTCGGGCATCCGGACAATGTGGCAGGTCTAGCAGAGCTGATGGCAGAGGACCATCGCTTCAATGTTGGTGGTCTTTGCTCCTTCCAGCACGCTGACATTTGTCTGCTTGTCTTCCCAAGAGGTTTGCAGGATTTTCAGCGCTGATGAAATTGTTCCAGGAGTTGCATGTGACATCTGTAGACAGTCCATGTCTTGCAGGCGTATAGCAGAGTTGTGAGGACAATGGCTTTATAAACAAGCACCTTGGCATCTCTACGGATGTCCCGGTCCTCAAACACTCTGTGCTTCATTCGGAAAAATGCTGCACTCGCAGAGCTCAGATGGTGTTGTATTTCACTGTCAATATTGATTTTTGTGGAGAGGTGGCTGCCAAGGTAGCGGAAATGGTCCACATTTTCTAATGTTATACCATTAAGCTGTATCTCTGGCATTGGAGAGGGACTGGCTGATGACTGCTGAAAGAGCAATTTATATAGCCRAGCTATATAAATTCTTTTCCTTATATCAAAAGGCAAAATTAAGGTTTGTTTTTTTTTATTTGGGGGGTGGGGGTGGATAATATTTTCAAGCTATGGGAGGTTAGATCCGTGGATACAGATTCCGTGGATACGAAGGTGTGACTGTATGAATGCCTGGAAAGATTGAGCAGGGAGGGAAAACAAGGATGGCTCTTTTTCCAGGCATTGGACATCCTTTATTGAAAGGAGGTGCCTTCTGATGGATCGGATTATAACTCCCATACATCCCCCCCCACAATCAAGAATCATGGGAGTTGTAGTCTGATCCCTTGCCTCTCCCTCGATCCCTTCCTGTCTCCCCCTCCCTCCCTTTTCCAACTCCTTCCCATCACCAGCCATGACGTCACCGGCCCCCAAAGGGAGGGGAAGGAGGAGGGCCGGCTTTTCAATCAGCACCAAGGAGAGCTCCTCCCGGCCTGCCCTCCTCCCTCTCTCCCCCCGCCCTCCCTCCCTTTCCTGGTCCTCCTCCGACCCCGATCTCCTCTTTGGCGGCTTTCCCGGCACCCCCTTCCCTCCCCACCGCCTCCCTTGATCCCTCCAAGAAAGGGGGCTGGAGCTAATTTTAGGACGAGAGAGAGGAGGCCGATACTTCCGAGCCATCCGATCTTGGGGGAGGCTCACCCAACGCCTCGTCTTCTGGGGGAGGGCGGGAAGGAGGGGCCGGGGGAGGGGAGGGGGTGGTGGGGAGGAGGAGGAGGAGGGAGGAGGGGAAGGGGGAGGGGAAGGGGAGGAGGAGGAAGAGGAAGGCAAGCGGGTGGTAGCGGCGCCCGGCCGATCCAGAAGATCCCTCCCCTGGATGGAACCCAGCTGCCTCCAGTCCACCATGGCGCTGGGGCTCTCCTCCAAGAAGGTCTCCTCCCGGAACATTGCGGTGGAGAGGAAGAACCTCATCACCGTCTGCAGGTAAGGGGTCAGCTGGGAGGCTTTGTATATATGTGTAGTTATGTATGCATGGATCTGGCTGAGATGTTCTGGGTGTGAATGGTCAACCATGGCTTGGAATGGTGAAGGTGGACCCTCTGAGATACAGCTCCTCTCTTAAGATTAGAGGAACAATTGTGGAAGGACAGCGGCATAGTATGGAAGGCTAGATTGACATACATGTATGTATGTATGCATGTATGTATGTATGGATCATAGATCTGGCTGTCTCCAGTTCAAGGAAGTGGTTAACCACGGTGAAGGTGGACCCTCTTAAGCTCTTAGAAACTATCTGGAGGGACATCAGCATAGTATGGAAGGCCATATGTGTGTGTGTGTGTGTGTGTTTCAATCTGGTCATGGATCTGGCTGAACTGGGCATCCCCAGTTCAAGAAAATGGTCAACAATGGCTTGGCATGGTGAAAGTGAACCCTCTGAGATATAGCTCCTCTCTTAAGATTAGAGGAACAATTATGGAAGGACACTGGCATAGTATAGAAGGCCATGTGTGTGTGCGCGTATATATACATACATGTATTTATGTATGTGTGGATCTGGTCATGGATCTGTCTGAACTGGGTGCCCTCGGTTTAAGGAAATGGTCAACCATGGCCTGGCCTGGTGAAGGTGGACCCTCTGAGATACAGTTCCTCTCTTAAGATTAGAGGAACAATTCTGGAAGGACACTGGCATAGTATGGAAGGCTAAATATCTATATATCTATATTATGTGTATGTATTTATATATTTATGTCTGTTTAGATAAAAGATCTGGCTGAACTGGGTGTACCCGGTTCAAGGAAATGGTTAACCATAGTGAAGGTGGACCCTCTGAGATACAACTCCTTTCTTAAGCTCAGAGAAACTATGCAGAAGGACATCAGCATAGTATGGAAGGCCATGTGTGTGTGTGTGTGTATGTTTGGATCTGGTCATGGATCTGGCTAAACTGTGCGTCCCCAGTTCAAGAAAATGGTCAACAATGGCTTGGCATGAAGGTGAACCCTCTGAGATACAGCTCCTCTCTTAAGATTAGAGGAACAATTCTGGAAGGACACTGGCATAGTATGGAAGGCCATATGTGTGTGTGTGCGTGTATTTATGTATGTGTGGTCATGGATCTGTCTGAACTGGGTGCCCTCAGTTTAAGGCAGGAGTAGGGAACCTTTGGCCCTCCAGCTGTGGTGGACTTCAACTCCCACAATTCCTTGAGGCTCGGCATTCGCCCCAAAGGCTTACCTTGGCCCAATGCCGAGCCTCAAGGAATTGTGGGAGTTGAAGTCCACCACAGCTGGAGGGCCAAAGGTTCCCTACCCCTGGTTTAAGGAAATGGTCAACCATGGCTTGGCATGGTGAAGGTGAACCCTCTGAGATACAGCTCCTCTCTTAAGTCTAGAGAAACAATCCAGAAGACATCAGCATAGTATGGAAGCCTCTCTCTCTCTCTCTCTCTCTCTCTCTCTCTATATATATATATATATATATATAGAAATATGTGTGGATCTGGTGGTGGATCTGTCTGAACTAGGTGCCCCAGTTCAAGGAAATGGTTAACCATGGCTTGATGTGGTGAAGGTGGACCTTCTGAGACACAGCTCCTCTCTTAAGATTAGAGGAACAAATCTGGAAGGACATCGGCATAGTATGGAAGGCTAAATATATATTTATATTATATGTATGTATTTATATATTTATGTATGTTTAGATAAAAGATCTGGCTGAACTGGGTGTCTCCAGTTCAAGGAAATGGTTAACCACGGTGAAGGTGGACCCTCTGAGATACAACTCCTCTCTTAAGCTTAGAGAAGCAATCTGGAAGGACATCAGCATAATATGGAAGGCCATATATATGTGTGTGACTAGATGCAAACATACATCTGGTGGTGGATCTGTCTGAACTAGGTGCCCCTGGTTCAAGGAAATGGTCAACCATGCCTTGGTGTGGCGAAGGTGGACCTTCTGAGATACAGTTCCTCTCTTAAGATTAGAGGAACAATTCTGGAAGGACATCGGCATAGTATGGAAGTTGTATAATATGTATGTATTTATGTATGTTTGGATAATAGATCTGGCTGAACTGGGTGTCCCCAGTTCAAGGAAATGGTCAACCACAGTGAATGTGAACCCTCTGAGATACAGCTCCTCTCTTAAGCTTAGAGAAACAATCTGGAAGGACACCAGTATAGTATGGAAGGCCATATATATATGTGTGTATTTATGTATGTGTGGATCTGGTGGTGGATCTGTCTGAACTAGGTGCCCCTGGTTCAATGAAATGGTCAACCATGGCTTGGCATGGCAAAGGTGGACCCTCTGAGATACAGCTTCTCTCATAAGATTAGAGAAACAATTCAGAAGGACATCAACATAGTATGGAAGGCTATATGTATGTATGTATGTATGTATGTATGTGTGTGTGTATTCATGTATGTTTGGATCTAGTCATGGATCTGTCTGAATGGATGTCCCCAGTTCAAGGAAATGGTCAACCATGGCTTGGAATGGCATAGGTGGACCCTCTGAGATACAGCTCCTCTCTTAAGATTAGAGGAACAATTCTGGAAGGACATTGGCATAGCATGGAAGGCTATATATGTGTGTGTATTAATGTATATGTGGATCTGGTTGTGGATCTAGCTGAACTGGGTGTCCCCAGTACAAGGATTTCCTGGTTCAATGAAATGGCTTGGAATGGCATGGCTTGGAATGGCAAAGGTGGACCCTCTGAGATACGGCTCCTCTCGTAAGATTAGAGAAACAATCCGGAAGGACCTTAGTATAATATGGAAGGCTATAGATGTATTTATGTATGTTTGGATCTCATGGATCAGGCTGAATGGGTGTCCCCACTTCAAGGAAATGGTCAACCTTGGCTTGAAATGGCAAAGGTGGAACCTCTGAGATAGAGCTCCTCTCGTAAGATTAGAAAAACAATCTGGAAGGACATCAGCATAATATGGAAGGCTATTTATGTATGTTTGGATCTCATGGATCTGGTTGAATGGGTGTTCTCAGTTTAAGGAAATGGTCAACCATGGCCTGGCATGGCAAAAGTGAACCCTCTGAGATACAGCTCCTTAAGATTAGAGAAACAATCTGGAAGGACATTGTCATAATATGGAAGGCCATATGTGTGTCTGTATTTATGCATATGTGCATCTGGTCATGGATCTGGTTGAATGGGTGTCCCTAGTTCAAGGAAGTGGCCAACCATGGCTTGTCATGGTAAAGGTGGATTCTGAGATACATCTCCTGTCTTAAGATACCTGTCAGGTTAGAGAAAACAATCCAGAAGGGCATCGACATAGTATGGAAGGCCATCTGGAAGAAACAGAAGGGAGCATCAAGGTGAGATAACGGAGCAAGCTCAAAGCTGAAAGGTGGAAGGGTGGGTGGGTAGACTCAGGCCAAAGGTAACTGGAATCAACATGAGATGCTCTGTTGTGATCCATGTTTCAGAGAGGGCTTGGTGTAAACCACAAACGCAACGCCAATGGGCCGAATCCACCAATCCATATCTTTTTCTGTGCCTCTCCTCCAGAGGCTGGATTCTAACTCCTGTATTCCTCATCATGATGGGAGCTGTGATACAATAGCATCTGGAAAGCTTCCATTTGTGCTGTTTAGTCAGAATAGTGGGGTTTGCATTTAGATACAAAACTTGTGGATATAGCGCCTGACTTTGAAATGCCCTTTAGCCTTTCCTCAGCCTCAGAGCCACATGTGCTGTTGGGTTGTGAGTCCCATTATCCTCAGTCCATATGGTCAGTAATCAAAAATGATGGGAGTTGTTGTTCAGTAACACCTGAGGACCCAAAATTAGAGTACTGACCCACTATGTGTATATGTGTATGTATGTATGTATATGTATGTGTGTGTGTATATAGTTATATGGCCTTCTGTATCCATGGATTCTTCATCCATGGATTCAATGGCTCTTTGAAGGCAACCATAAGGTGAATGTGGTCCTCCATGAAAATGAAGTTTGACACCCCTGGTGTAGACTATTTATTCATTGGAGCCTTCATGAGAATTGCCTGGGAATCTCGCAACCCTAAGAAATTCTCTCCCCTTGACCCCAAGGGTTTGGGGAAAGAAAGACTGGTGTATTGTCGAAGGCTTTCATGGCTAGAATCACTGGGTTGTTGTAGGTTTTTTGGACTATATGGCCATGTTCTAGAAGCATTCTCTCCTGACATTTTGCCTGCATCTATGGCAAGCATCCTCAGAGGTTGTGAGGGTTAGGGTTAGAGTTAGTTAGGGTTAGGTGGATGTGGTCCTCCATGAAAATGAGTTTGACACCCCTGGTGTAGACTATTTATTCATTGGAGCCTTCATGAGAGGTACCTGGGAATCTCACAACCCTAAGAAATTCTCTTCCCTTGACCCCAAGTATTTGGGGAAAGAAAGTCTGGTGTATTGTCGAAGGCTTTCATGGCTGGAATCACTGGGTTGTTGTAGGTTTTTTGGGCTAAATTTTAATCATTACATTTGGCCTGTCCTTAGTTTTAAATGCGTCGTGGTGTTATTGTCTAATGTTTATTGCTTGTTTTATGAGTTTATTTATTGTTGTATTTGTTATGCTGTTATTTTATTGATGTGTTGGGCCTCGGCCTCTTGTAAGCCGCACCGAGTCCTTCGGGAGATATTAGCGGGGTATAAATAATAATAATAATAATAATAATAATAATAATAATAATATGGCCATGTTCTAGAAGCATTGACGTTTCACCTGCATTTATGGCAAGCATCTTCAGAGGTTGTGACCTCTGAGGATGCTTGCCATAAATGCAGGCGAAATGTCAGGACCGAATGCTTCTAGAACATGGCCATATAGCCCGAAAAACCTACAACAACCCAAAGACTGGTGGCTTCAACTCTACTCAGCTGTGAGTTCTTTCTCTTTGGGGTGAGCAGTTTTCTGAGATGGTGGCAGGTCAGTAATGCTATAAAGCAATACAGAAGGCTGAATGGGGTAGAAA